ATATATATATAGTGTAGGGTGGTCCGCCAGTCAGTTACTTGGAAAATTTTGAGTCCGCGGCCAGACCTACTTGCTGATGGCCGGCCTAGAGCATAGATCAATTAAAAGTGACAACAATTTAGCGTGCAACAGCAAAGATGGTTACCTCTCTAATAATAAGATGACATATAATGGTAGAAAGTAATTGTATGAGAGGAATGAAAAAGGAGAGTGAGTGTCATTCGGTTACTGATCAGTTTGTTCTTGATTACAGTTATTACATGAGACAGCGTAAAATATGAAATCTGCTACGTTAATCGAATCAAACAAACAGCACAATTCACCTGCACTGGAATATTAACGTTCGCTCACCCTGAACTACAGTTACATCTCAGCAGCTGCAGTCAGTGGTGGCCGCATTTTTAATTGACTAGTAACTGCATGTTGGAAATGTCGCTTATGAGAATAAATTTGTACTGCGATTTATTTCAAAATGTCTTCTTGAACTGCAGCTCTAAGATTCATCGATCACGTAATTGCAATGAAAATATATTCACAAATGAAATATGCAAACAATTCGAATGCGTCCCACCCAGAACAGAATTAGTGCATGGCAAAAATGACACTAGATTCGAAATGAAGCAGACATTTTTTGTTGGAAGTATATTACAATCGATCAATGACAATAACGTCTGATGATGATGATGTCGAGAATGAATTCACTTTTGCGTTAATCATTCCAACTGCAACTTCAAGCTGAAACTAGAATTGTCTTCGCAGATGCTGTCTTCATATGTTTACGTTCATTCAATTCGTGAAATTACTATGAATAAAAACAAAGCATAAATTCAGCATTCACTGATGTGAAAACTTGACGCGCGAACACCTAAGTTATCAGTAAGCTGCAAATTCAACAACGACAGCATAAATTACTAGTGCATAAATGAAAACAACGCCGAAAGTAATCCAATATATAATTCGATCGAGTCGTATCAATAAGGCATCCATCCATCCATCCATCCGTCGTTCAAGGACAGCACCATCACTGGCAACAACACGCAATCAACGAACTGTCTGACTGTCTATTTTCAGCGAGCATTATCTATCAATTTTATATTAACCCAAAACCAACCAGCTGAGCACCATCAAAACACTCTTATTATTGCCATCATCATTATTGCCACTGTTATCAATATCAACATCCATTCTGCAATCATAATTGTGCTGCTCCTCATCATTTCATACATGAAGTCAACTTCGTATAATTTTTGTACATACAAATCTCCATACATTCATAATCCTCAAATTATAAATAGACTGCTTTCTATGGCCAACAGTAAGAAACTGTTAACTCAGTGAACAACTGAATGGATCCTTACCAAATTTACGATCCGTTCTTAGTGATTAAGTCAAAAATGGCAAATTAATTCCTTCCATTTTGCTTCGAATCAACGCTGAAATCACCTGTTCATAGTGACCACTCTCGAATATCATATCAGAATATGACAGAACAATGTCTGCATTCAATAACATCGTATCATCTCTACAAGTTAATATTTAGTGACGGTTAACATTAATGATGAATTCATTTTGTATTGAAGCATCATGTTTCTTAAGAATATGCTAATACAATAGTCACAGAAAGCAACTTCAACTTATGACTACTTCCTTTAACATGCTCATTCTGATGATTTATAACCATCAAGAATAAAGATTAAGACAATCGATCATTAATTTTACATTAAATTTGTCAATCTGTCTGTCTCACAATTTCATTGATAATGTCACGTCATCAAAATGCAGTCCATTGAGACTGCCATCAACATTTTTTCGAAACTGGGATTGCACGTCGACAGTGAATCTTTCGCGCTGATTTAAGGCGTTTACAACAGTTCGATTTCTCAAACGTATTCGATGCTTCACATATTTTCTTGAGCCTGCTTGCGTTACGTAAGCGAATATATGGACAAATGGTAATTGACATGAGTTAATAAACGAACGAATTGATGAATTGAATAGAAATAAAATCGATTAAAGTCAAACGAATATCGAAAAACATGTTATGAAATGCAGTAATGCAATGAAGTAATGAACTGAAACACGTTCACGGTAAGATGCAGCGAGACGACCTAAAATGAACGCGAAAAACACGGACCTTGCAAAGTTGTCGAAGGTTACAATGAACATACATACGTGTATAGGATGGCAAAAGAGAAAGTAGAACATTATGAAGTATGAAATGGGATGAATATCATGAGAGGTAGTTGCAGACGATCTTGTAGCACGACGATGGAACATAATTTCAAGAATTTATTGAAACACATGTTTATATTTTAGAGGAAATCGTATGTGCACAATTCATTACAGTAAGCTTGTGGAAGCTGACCAATGAATGCAAATAAAACAGGAATGCATTATTCAGTGATGCAGTGCCATTCTGGAATTGCGTGAGTATGCAATTTCTTGACGATGTACTGACCACATAAGCGCATAATATGGTTGGATGTGCAGTTGTGAATGATACACGCTGATGGGGAACACGATCAATATGTGGACAGATAGATAGACGGACGGATATATAGTAGCAAGCTATATGATGTATATATTGATGGTGGCATGACATACATATGTTACGTCCTGAATGAGATGGCCAAGCGATGGCCCCGATGAGTTCGACTAGTGGGCAAGTCGAGCCTTTCGGTTCCATTTCAGCGTGCAGTCTGCATTCGTCAAATATCATTTCCGCGTCCTGTTCACGCAGTGGCCCTAATCCAATATTGACACACATAAATACGCAAACAGACATCAATGGTCATCTTACACATCAAATGCGATCGTGCATCGAATTGAAACCATCTTGAATGTGCTGCTTACTTTGTGTGATTGATTGGAACACGCTAATTGGATTCATTATGATGAAAATATGTCAAAACGAGAGTATATTTTGTATTTCTTCGATTATGAACTTAGCGAATTGCGATTTTCTCAAATTTCTGAATCCAGTATCTACTCAAGCCGGCAGGTTCTATTGAGGACATCTTCCATGAAAAACTCCGAAAGTGCCCACAAAATGCTGAACACGTAAATAATGCTGTTGAACAAAGGAATCAATATCTGTTTTCTATCGAATTAGATCGCAAAGCCATTTGAAACGTGTTTCTAAAAATGCGATTTTTTTTCGAGTGTATGGCTGTATCGAAGAAAAAAGAAATTACTTGAAGAAGCATGGTACTTATACTGCAAGATATGCGTTGTTTAGTGGGATTATTCACCTAGAATGCACAGCATGCATATTTTATGAATATTTCAAGCTCTTTGCTGAATTCTTGTGGTCAACGAGTAATGAACAGCCAGCAGAAAAATCTTTATCCTGCACTGAATTGGTCGATCTTCAATAACATGAGGTAGCACGTCAAAATACGAACAAGACATGATTGATGATAGAAAGAAAATTGTTAAGTTCAATTGATGATGAAGAAATTGTGTATAATACATGTAAACAGCACAATCCGGCTCAACTTTTGCAGCCTCTTGAACTTCTTTGATAAATGATTATATATTCCAACTGTTGAGTTGGCAGCAGTGATGGTATCACTCAAGAAAACGTATCGACATCAATTGTTCAATGTTGATTCTCTCCATCGCCTGGCAATGAAAGTTTTTTCTTAAATATTAATAATGCCATTTTTTCAATGGAACAGTTTACTTTGTGTGCAATTAGCAACACTTCCATTTATTTATTAAAACGATCTCACAGCTGTATCGCTAATCTCATCCAACAAAGGTGGTAAAATTACCCGGCAAAACTCATCGAACGAGATTTTCCCATTCTTCTCGTAATCGCCCTCTGTAATCGTTCTGTCTGTTATTGATTCGAGCTGAAATTTGTCAGATGATCAATTAATAGTAAACATATTGATGTTCTGGCGATGAGGTATTGCATTATATCGGTGTTAATTATGTACGTCACAGCAACAGTTCGCGTCTTCTTTACTTGCAAATGTGATCCATGACTAAAACATCAAGAATGGTTGAATTCTCACCTGTTCAGCGTCGATACTCGGTCCGATCATCATCGTTAAAATAATCTTGAATTCATAACGTGTAATGAATCCATTCTTATTCAGATCATACATGGCGAACGCAACTGAAGCAAAATGATTGATTGGAATTGTGTCAAACAAATGACATCTTGTCAATTTCAAACAAATGTTTTGTTTGCCTAGAATAAATTTACTAAAATACTTCGATACAAATACTATTTTTTCAAAATCATATAACACTGAATTATTTCAAAAATTCGACATGCATAAAGTTTTGGTACAAAGAACATTTTTTGATTTTCGAATGTGGCAAGAGTGAACTTCATATAAATGATTTAAGCAGGTTTCTTTTTCATCCAAGAATTTTGGGGATATTGAATGCAAAATACTTATTTTTCATTCATACATTTGAGTTTCTGCTCCCGAGAGTTTATCGTATCTTTCATAGGCTCTTTGCAGGGCCTAAAGTGAGCCAGAACATTTGCAAATTCAGTGAGCGACATTCCTTTCTCAGGATCTCGTCTGAAAGAAGTATTTTGTGGTGAAAAAAGCCTTCAAAAACTATAATAACTTTTTTCATTCTAATTCAACGAATACCATCCGAACGAAATTTCATTCGACCGAATTCACATTTCAACATTCCGACATTCGGAATTCCAACCGACCATCCAAATTGTTCGGTCGGAAGCCGAATGTCGGAATTTCCATCGAAATTTGTCGGATTTTTCCGACCAACCGTCGTTCGTATTCCATCAGTACTTCTAATTCATTCTCTCTTGGAAGCGATAAATACCCTTTTTTAGTCTACGTTTCGTTTCAAAGCTCTCATGGTTTCAGAAAGAAGTTTGTTAACTTCTTTGTAAAATTATTTTAGGTTCTTAAGATTATGTTCTTAGAAGTGACCCTTAATATTGAATTGGACGTTAAGCTGCTACCTTAACTTCATGATATTACCCGACTGAATTAGAATCTCAGACAAACGTAGCTGACTTAATACTTTCGGAGTTTGACTCCAAGGTAAAGTCTAGAAAAATGTGGAAATCAACACTGCAATTCAGATGCAGCTGCAAAAAAATTTTGTCTGAATTATCAATGCTCCGAACGTCAAAATTTCGGACGGAACAAGAAATAGGGGGCACGTATACATATAAACAAATATTTTGAGTCAGAACCGATAAAAATTAGCCGGAACCAACATACACTTCAGCAAAGAATGCATCGATGATGCGATCACTAAGCGGATTGATTTCCAGATCGGGAATCTCAAAGAAATCATCTCGTTCCAAAAAGCCCTGTCCTGCAAGTAGATGCCATTTAACACGCAGTTTTCAATTGATGATTTGCTAAATAGAAAGCAACCATAGCTCTTGGTCATATTCAAGCACCAACCTCTCTTGTCAAGATGATAGAATCGCTCATGTAAGCGATGAATTTGAGCTCGAGTGACTGAAAGTATTTTCATCAATACAATGAAAAGGTCGTCGACAGAATACATGAGAACTAATTGGTAATGAATACCTAAATTATCATTCACTTCATCGCTAATAACCTGATGATAATCAGGGTTTGAAGTCATTATTTCGCTGCGAAAATGGAAATGCTTTTCGGTGAGTAGTTTTGGCAAAGATAAGCAAATGCAACATACATCCTGTCTGATGGCAGAGTTCATTCGTTTCTTCGCCACTTAATTTGATCGGCTTTGCTCGGCAATTGCCCATTACCAATAAGAAGGTGGAATGTTCGCAAGGATCTAATCCATTTCAAACGGATGAAGCATAGTATTTTCATTTATTAGCATAATTAAATTTCACTTATTGCATCAAATTTCGAAATTGAGGATACGTAACGGTGTGATTCAGGCAATATTCAGTTTTGATGTTATAAATATGACACGAACAAAGCATAGTATACCTTGGTTTTTGGTATTTTTAGGGCGCAAATATTCTTTTATCAAAAAACCCATAATAAATCATTATCGTAATATTAAATCGAGTCAAATTTCGATATTTCCACTTCACATTGACAGACTGAAATGAAGTGAAAAGCATATGACCATTCAAGGTGAGATATACGTTTGGAATAATATATTTTGATATCAAAGAGAAAAACAATATTCGAATGTATGATTCAATTGATTTTAGCTTATGCAATGATAATCGCTCATCAGTGATTAAATATGTATGAAATATCTAACCGTATGACTATAACTGATACAATACGTATTGTAATCCTTTGAAATGCTGGTGCGTAAACTGAATAGTTAACATGAGCTTCGTTTCATTACATACTGGAGTATCATTGAAACACGAGAATAATAAGTTTGCAAATGAAATTTAGCGCAGCTTCCATCACGCAATTTACTGCAATAGCAGCACAAATCAATTCCACGACTCCATGCGCCAGGCTTTGCTTACTATCTCTCATATCCGGAAATATTACTTCTTAATCTTATTTGAGTGTTGAAGTTCGGTCCTGCAGCAATTCTCCTAAAAGAATTAGTTGTTTTGAAATGTTTCTGTAGATAGGAATATCATAACTTTTTTTACGCGGAAACGTTGAAGGTATTAGCGCTCACGAGATTTCCTACCGTTACCTCTAGCTTCTCAGTTCTGCTCAATCAACTAACATTCTGTTGAGTTTCGTTGTTCTTCATAACGCTCTCACTGAAGCAAATCAGAAAAAAAANAAAAAAAACAGAAATCTTTGATTGTGACGAACCTTTGAAAATTTCCAAAAACTTAAGTTGCAAATTTGTTTAAATTGATTGAATATTAAAGCTACTTAACTGCTGGTGTCTTATGACCGTGTTACTCAAAGCATTCTGGGATTCCATAAGGCAACCATCGGCAAGTAGGTTAATAAAGACAAATGTATGCGTCGGCGACACAGTTAGTCGTCCATAAGGAAATTCTGTATCGAAAATCTTCAGTGTAGTAGCTAAATAATTTAGGACCTTTTTCTTTTCTTTTTTACCTCTTAAGTCTGAGAATGAACGTGAGCCGAAGTCCGAGCTCGACTCAAGCAGATGATATCGATTTGCGTTCGGATGATTTTTGCACGGTCTCATGCGCTGTACGGTTCATAAAAGTGAACATGAATAGTGAAAAGTAATCGCTCACATACCGCGATGTATCAGAACAACGGGAAAATATTCATGACCCACAAGTGCTGTACAAGAAAGGGGATTGGTAAAAAAAAGAATGGAATTGAATTTACATAATTGTCGCAGACACATTCATCTATCACATGCGCTGTGGAAAACAATATTACTTGATTTAAGTTAGCTTAGACGAGCAAATATCATCATATGTTTCAGTGTATCAGAAAATCAAACTATCAGGTTCAGCTCATAAGCAAGTGATGAATTTTGTCCTATGCTTCGGGAACGACTGCCCAATCGTACATAACAACCGAATGCGGCAATTCATGGAATAAAATGGCCAAAAACCAACTTTCCTTACGGAAAGTGCAATCTCCATCTTTCTATTTCCATGAACAACTTGATCATTAGCTTGTTACGCAACTGGCTCAAATTCCTGATTGAAACAGAAAAAACTCAAACCGATGATTAAAACGCTCCACGATGTGAAATATGCAGAAATAGTATTTACTGATAAAATGATCAAGAAGTTAACAATCATAAACAATTCTTTGATATGGGAATATGGACTGGTTTCCAATCTGTTACATTTTTGTGAAGATTCAGACGTGTTATTGTGAGTTGTAAATACTTTCGTTCCTTGAACTCTCTGAAGAGCTCAGTCTTAATAGCTGTGCTCTTCCAAAGCCAGCAGTAAGTTTTCATTTAGCATTAATTTAGTTCTTTGCTGCTGTCTTATTGAATCATTAGACTTTTGTGCATAAAGTGATTGCTTTTTAGCAGTTTCATCGTTTTTCCTTTCATCAGTCCTCGTCAATATGGACAAGTACTACAAACTTTAGGAGATTTCATTGTTTTTTAATTCACTCATTTATTTGTCTGTTTTATCCACTCTTCCATTTATTTGCTTTTTTTTTATTCTCTCATTCAGTTGTTCATCTATGCATAAGTGCTGAAGATTCACGAAATTGGTGATTGTGATTGAATGAGATTGGGATATACGGTTAAGTGCATTGTAGGTTTGAATGCACTCGGGCAAAATAGTAATGCTTAAGCAAACTTCAACAAAAAATCGAAATGCGTATTGCTCTGTGTTCGATAGTAAACAGCGGCTTCAATAGCATTAAACCTATCAGTACGAGTAGCATTATTCGAGTAAAGTAAATACGAGCTTCAAAACAAAATATGCGCTGTTGTTGTTGTTCTAGCAGCCGATTTGTGTCTTGTCCAAAGCCGTTTCATTCGGTTAGCTTCGTAGTTAGTAGATCTCTTATTCAGCTTCTTCTACAGCAAAACGCTATTACGATTTCTTTCGATGAATACGCACAAATTATAAACTTTGACTCTTGTGCGCATATATATATAT